TCCGTAATCGTATACGGGTTTCAATTTACGTAATCAATGACACACATTTAGGTTTGCGGCACTTTCCATACGAGTACACATACGAGTTGGAAAATTTGCGTGAAGAAATTTGCTGGTTAAATACTTTTGTATCAGGTAATCTACATATTTACATGTAAATTTAATACATGTGTGCTATGTTACTTGACCTTAACAAATAAAAGATGTAAAATTATTAAAATAATTTGAAAAATACGATTAAAGTAAGACAATTTGTATGTATTTATTAAATATGCTGAAATCTACAGAAAAAAAGATATTGATTATTCTAGCGTAACAGGAATGAGGATAGTTGTGCGTTATTTATATGATACTTTTATTATAAAAATTATTATTAATTGTACACATAATAAATTTTTAATTAAGATCAAGATTACATTTCTTTTTTTGTTTAAATATTAACATGGTATTATATTACTATTTAATGTTAAATAAAATAATAATGTTAAATGATATCATCCATATAATGTTAAATTAACAAAAAAATTTAAGTCGACCGTTTGGAAACATATAATTTATGCTAAATTTAATATATATTTTTTTAACAGTTTAATGTGTTCAAAACTCATTCGCGGAAGATAGATAAACAAAAATCGGTAGAACGTTTGTGGAATAGAAACTTTTAAATATTTCAACTATCAAAAATGATTTCTATTTTCTATCGGAAAATATTACTGCGTATCTCGAATCAATAATATTTACTGCGCACATGGATCAATTGGATTAATTTTATATTTTGGCAAATTACTTTTTCCTGTTTTATATAAAACTGCGTATATTTAAGTGTCACCTCTTTATCATTTTCGTGGAATTCATGTAAATCTATTAACCGTCAGTATCAGTATTTTCGTGGATAATCAGTTAAATCTGTTAGCAGTATATTGGCATTTTCGTGGAAATCAGCCAAATCTGTTAACAGTATTACGTGTCCCTTCCACGAGAGCTTCGATAAATTTGGGGAAAAAAATTCGATGTCGTCTATTTATTTGGATAAGATATATATATATATATTCTTTGCAAATTTGTTTTTTTAATTTGCACGGAAAGAACAATTTTGCTGAAATATCTAAAAATTTGACTAGATACGCTTCTACATGATGATAATATCACAATTATCTTTTTTGAAATTCTAGCATTCAACTCGAGCGTCCTACATAATTATTTTAATGGTCCAACAAAAATATTTTGTCGCCTAAATTTTTAAATTATTTTTATGTTTTAGCAAATATTTTTTCTACGCAAGCTCTTGTGATTATTTTATTGAAATCTACGATTTGTTACGAAATTTAAAAAAAGGCAAAATTACATATTCTTCTTGTACATTCTTTTGGATTATTTCCGGATGTCCATTTCACAAATACCAATTGCGATGAAAACATATTGTACGTGGGCTTTGCGTGTTTGTGGAACATGTCATCTTTATTGTTATTAAGTAAAAAGTGTTTCACTGTCATTTTCTACGAAACTTTAATACAAGGTTGTTGTTTCTGAAACAGGATGACTGTCTGCGTATCTATTGTTAGTTGAATAATTATTGCGTTTTAAATTAGATATCAACAGAGTGAAATTACATACATGTTAACGGAGTGATGCGTTTAAGAGAATTTTCCGAAAAAAACTTTGATTACATCGTAACTGAAAATAATTTTGCGTGTATCAAAATAACTAAAGAACGCTCAAGTTGATTGCTAAAATATCAAAAGCATTTTCATTATCAACATTATTATCATCATATTTAAGCATAATTATTTTAATAGTCTAATAAATTACCTCTGGATCTGTACCCGATTAAATTTTTAGATATTTAAGCAAAATTGTTCTTTTCGTGTACGTGTTTTTTCTCTTATTGAAAAAATAAGGCTCTTTTATGGTGTGTGAGTTTTTTGCTCTTTTAAAAAATTCGATAGAAAAAACCATCACGGAGATAAAATTGCATGCAAGCGCATGCAACAGGACGCATCTGCAAAAAATCGTACAGTTCCCGCTATTTTAATGAGTAGTCGTCATTGTAATGAGCAAAATTTTTTTTTCGTTCGCCTTTGATCTGAAGAGGCACTTGCTTTAATGATCGTCGCAGTTTAAAGACTCTCTCTCTCTCTTTCTCTCTCTGTGAAAATAGATTACAGCCAAATGCAATTTTGGCTTTTTTTCGGTCTTTTCATGTTTCAAAGTACATGTTCAAAGTACAAAAGGCTGTTTATAACTCGAAGCTAAAGCGCCTGTGGATAGGTCTCCATGAAAGTTCTTTTTACAATGTTTTAAAATTAGGTCTGGGTGCTCTGAAAATATGTATCGTTAACTTTTAAGAACATCTTAACAATTCACCCGTTCGCGAAGCCGCTTTTTCATAGAAAGCATGTATGATTACGTATGTTCGCGCAATCGATCGCTCTATCTAGTCGTTTCTATTATTTATAGCGCCGCTACAAGTCGCGCAGCTTTAATAGCTTCTCCTTTCTTCATAATGTCACGATGTAATAATGTAATAACTACAATGCTCTAATTCCCAAACGAAGTCTTCACCGTCCGATTCTATTTTTGGCACGAAAATTAAATTTAATGATCACTTCCATTGGAAGTGGAATGAAAATGAAGAAGATTAATCGCGCATTTCAATTTCAATACGATTCTACATCTTTGACTAACAATCAAGGCTTTCGGTGGAAACTGGACCAATGTTGTCGCTTATCTCTCGCTTCTTTTTTCCTGTCTAGTTACAACACACACACACACACACACACACACACACACACAAAAGCATGTCCGGCCATGTTCGCGCGATTTTATCAAACGTATCGATTCGGTTTTACAGCTGATCCGCGTATCATCGTGTCGTCGTCGAACGCGGGAAATCCATCACCTTCCTAGTCGTCGATAAGAAACCGCCGGCTGGACGAAGTAACCGGAGGCTTATCGGGAGTCGATAAACCATCAACGACCGGAGGACTCGATGCGCGCGTCTTGAAAAGCTCGGGCTTTAAAGCCGCGCGAGAGAAAACGGATAACGGACGCGTCGTTACGCCTGTCACATTTATCTTCCGCGCGAAGGAACGTTCGTTAACTTTGATATTTATATTTGCGAATTTTCGAGTCAATTTTCGCGGATTAACAAATACTAGAGGATGTCTGTTTCTTCGCACGTGCGTGGGATGTGAGGGTATTTTATTTTGGCGCCTTGCCATATGTGCCGCACAATCCAGTTCGATCTCCTCCATAAAAAGCTGCAAGTAACGACAAAATTGTAGCAATCGCAAAGATAAATTGTTACAGTATCATAATTCTATTATGTATTATGACTTCACCACTGTTGTATGTACATGTTGCTAGAAATGAAAAAAAGAGATCGATATATATAAAAAATCGCATTACGATGTTATGTTCCGCCGAATACTCTTTCTTTAGCGATATAAGTCATGTCTATTTAGTCACAATAAGCAATTAGTTACCGAAAGTACTTTTTTTTGTTAAGGAAGAGACATGAATTAGGATAACTAATTATATAAAATTATTTATACATTTTATAGGAAGGAGAAATCGAAGAAAATTTATTATAATCATTAAGTTTCGATTAAAGGATTACGATAAAGATTTATAACACGTGTTTTTTTTTGGTACAATAAAACTTTAAGATGTATCTTCATTGTAAAAAGAAAAAGAGAGAAAAATTCAATAAAAATTTACGATTGTGATCATGTTGTTTCTTGAAATGAAATTGGATTGGAAACATAATATACGTATATATAATATACGTACACAAATTTTAGTGTTTTTAATAAACATTTCAAATTAACATTCTGTCAAAGTAGTACTTATTTTAATTAAACCGAGGAGAAATAAGTTTTCTCTTATTTATTCAAGCCTTTGAACCTGGCTGTAACGATGCCGTTTAATTCGTTAAACAACTTTGTCAGAAATTAAATAGCCGTAAAAACTTTTTTCCTAGAATAATTTTCGGTTCATCAAAGAACAAAGACTCTTCTGGCTTTCGCAACAATTGCCAGGCACCCCCTCGACGAAGGGCGACATGTAGGGTTTATCGCGTTATCCAACATAAAAATCCGAGTTAATTCTCTGGCTATTTGTATTTCACGAGGACGTCGCCGGTGGCGAGTGGTAAGAGGATCTGATTAACGTTCGGGTTGTGCTAATTCGCCGGCCTGATACGCACAGTCGCGCCCTAATCCCGACCCTCTCGTTCGTGGCATCCCGTTTGGGTGCCAAAATTTCAAGTGGGTGTGGGAGGAGGTGTGTCGCCGGGACAACGGGACGGAGGTTGAAGGAGCGCCGCGTCACCCCGGTACCAGGAATACGGGTCACCGTACGACGCCGAATCGTGGTGAAGGGTCGCGCATCGATGTGCGCTATGCCGGGGACGAGTCTAACGTCGACGACGACACGTCACGCGATAGGGCACTCGGACCCCCGTTACGCGTACGTACATGTAGGAACAAATAGATAAATGAACGAGAAGTGAAGTGGAGGCGGAAGAGATGGAGGAGGAAGAGGAGAAGGAGGAGGAGGACGAGGAGGAGGAGGAGGAGGAGGAGGAGGAGGAGAAAGAGGAGGACGGTGAACAGGGGGAGGGATGGTAGCGGACGAGAAGGAGGCGGTGGAAGACGACAAATAGAAGGAGACAGGGGAGGAAGAGACAGAGGGGGGACTGGGGACCGACGAACTCGTCGACGCGGCGCCAGTCGTCGAGTCGCCATGTCACTGCGAGCAACTTGCCACTGTCTCGCGGGGGCTGCTGCGCTACGCGTCCGGTCGTGAAGGTTCGCCACGGGACACGACGGCAGGCAGCGGCGGCGGCAGCGGCGGCGGTGGTGGCGGCGGCGGCGGTGACGACGACGCGGCCAGTAGGGGTTGCGGACCCAAGACGCGAGAGAGTGCGTTCGGTGCCATCGGAATTCCGCAAGTGGTGTTCTTTATGTCCGGGTCGACCAAACAGCCCGCTTTGCTCCTAGTGTCGCAAGGACTTGACTTAAAAAATTAACGATCGCATGTGACACAGCCTAAATTTACAGCCTAGATTTTTAGATAGATGTAATATGTTACAATTATTATATATATATATATGTGTATATATATATATATGTGTGTGTGTGTGTGTGTGTGTGTGTGTGTGTGTGTGTGTGTGTGTGTGAGACAGTAATTTGTTGCAAAGTTGACTATAGATTTGCAATCATATTGTCACAATTCTCTTTTGGAACACGATTTTATTTTGCTCTTGAAGTTGCATGATTTTTTAACGATTGTTTTTTAATTGGAGTTGTATTTTTTATTATTTAAGCTATTTAAAAGAATCGGCCCCGTTGGAAACTGTGAAATAATAAAAGAAGAAATGTATCGTTTGTCTCAATGACATCGAGGCTCATAGAGTAAGGTATCGATAGGATTTTCAATTTGCAAATGAATCTTTATTAAGATTTATTATTACGACATCCCGCAAACTTTGACAGATTAAGTTTACTTTGCTCAGAAGAATTCAAAACGTAACTTTTGGGAAGAAATAGAGATCAAAAACAACTTGTTAGAAGATTGGGTGAGAGATGTTAGTCATAGTTTTACATCATCATATATCGCATTAGTGTAGTCTAATACTTTAAGAAAGGTTAAGCTATAATTAAGATAAGTGTTTTACAAAGCAAAGTTTTTATCTTCTACTTTAAGAGGGAGGAAAATTAAGCTCATAGTAACTTGGTGTTAGAAGAGGCTGAATAGCGGGGTTGTTTCTGAAAAAACTTCTGACCCATTTCGAGAATCGGGAAATGTTTTACTCGATCCTTTCGAGCGAGAAAGAACTGATCTCGTTCGAAAACGTGACACAGCGAACGTTTCTCATTTTCATGCTAGATCATGATAAATCTAATATGATGACGAGGATTTTGTAAAGCCCCTTGTGAAAATGGAGTTGATAAGAATAAAAGCTCGACATCATTCTCACATATTTCTACATACAATTTACGTGGAATAAAAGACCTCCCGAGCAAATCGCTCCATAAACAATAAAATCCTGTCGATCTGATTTACGAATTGGATTTAAATTTCCCGATTTTCTCTCCTGCCTTTCGCTCGCTCTCTTTTCGGGATTTTCCGGAAAAATTTGCGATTCGACATAAGGGCGGGAAAAGCATTTCGACACTTTCGATATTTTCTACAGCGAATACTATCCGTCGCTTATCCGTAGAATTCACGGAATGCAGTTACGAGAGGACTCGTGTCGGTGTAACTTCTACATATCTATGTATGTACAACAGTACGTTTCACATGCTCGGTTATCGAATCGCCGTATCCGTTTGACGACATCCGTCGTCCCTCATCCCGGATTTCTCGATCGCGCGATCGCGAGAGAGAGAGAGCGAAAGGAAGAAAAAAAAGTTCGACGGCGTCAATGGCCACTTTTCCATCGTTATCGCCTCGATACCTCGAATCACCCGAATATAAATGCGAAATGTCGGCCACACAAACTGCCCATTTGAACGGCGGGGGCCGGAAGATTGATAGGAAAAGATCGATACCGCTGTTTGCCGAAGGTAGGACATACCGCCCTAGGTGAATACATTCGGCGTATCTTTAATGCATCGCTTATCACGAGAAAAGAGAGAGAGGAGGGGGGGGGGGGGAGGGACTTCTTATATCACGGAGATTGGGCGTTTCGGCGAAAGGTCATTTTCTATCGATGTCTTCGCTTAATGTCCGATAAAGCAACTATAAGATGAATGACCGCATGCACGTCGAGTCGTCTATCCGTGAACTCGAGTCAGTTATTCATTCATAGGATCTATTTCATTTGTACTATTTCTGATGTGCAACCTTTATTACTTTATGTTTTAGCATGAATTACTTTCATTACATTACTTTTGTAATATTTGCTTGAGTTTCTCAAAGATTCTGCTATCAACTGATCTTTTTTGTTGATCCTGTTATTTGTTATCTGACTTTTAAGATTTTAGAATTCTACTTATACTTTGTCGAATAATTAGAATTGTTCGATTCGTCTCGTGTCCTTCGAATTTCAAGTAAAAGTTGCAATAATAATATGTCAGTAGTTTTCGATTGTATTTGCGGAAAGTATTTTGGAGTCGAAATTGAAACATTATGTCATTATCTTCAGAATCAATATTCTTAAAGAAGAGTTACTTTTGGCTCTTGGCTGAATTTGTTTACACAGAGAAAGGAAATTTTCCATTGATATCATATTCGTAAAAAATGTATTTGCATGTGAAAATTCAATTAGATTTTTATTAATGCTTTGAGAAAAAATTATATATTGTTTCAATATAAAATTCTTTAATTAACAAGTGCATAAAACTGGTTGGCATTGTTAATTAAAAAATTTTTTCATGTGTAAATATTAGATTAATTGCGTTAAATAGAATTTCTATTAAATTACATGATCTCACTATAATTAATCAAAAGCTAAAGTTTGATTGAAAAACTTTGTATTGTGAATAAAACTTTTACTCACTAGCATAGTAAAATAACTAGCATAGTAAAATAAAAGAATAATTAAAGAGTCTTCTCTTACTTGATACTTATTTGAACTTTGTTCAGAATAAGAATAAAAAAATTCATTTTTTCAAAGTCTCACTTTACTTTAGTAACTATCGTTTCTTTAAAAATTATGTTATATCTATTTGACTTGGATATCGCGGTGTACATAAAATTATCTATGATGATACATAATTCTTTCCACAATGACACAGGTGTACCGTGTAAATTACGTGCAAATTGCGACGTATATCATCTATTGTAAGACATTAAGTGCAAGTGCATCCACGTGTATCTCCTAGTATTTAAAGGATTGCAAAAGTGGCGCATAAATATACACGCAAGTTTCCTCCCGTTCTGCGTATATCGACGATCAAGGGACCTTATTCGACATCACCGCTCGACACCAATTTCGGCGATCGATCCGATCGCGTTAAGAGAGTGACAATTCAACAATTATTACCACACGGCGCAAGAGGCGTTCTCCGTAATTGGTGTTCTTCAGCCACCCCGCGCGATATAACACATCAGCCACGTATAACGGGATACGAAAAAACGACGAGGCTCACCGTGCGTAGTCGAGAGATTCGTCAAATAATCCCACGACACCTGTAGTTCCCCTCCGATCGAGCCCCGACGTGTCGCGGCAATTTCATCTCAATTTGGTCTGCAGAAATCGCACGGCGATGCGAGTGCCGACGCTGGCCGTCACAGCTGGCTGTTCAACGACATTATGATGATGATGATGATGATGATGACGTTACCAAAAGGAGAACGTGCCGAGCCTGTCTCGTAGTGGCGCGCACTCGCTGCGCGTGATAATAAAACCGACGTAGTTGTGCATAGTCATACTATTAAATTGTACATAATACGCGAGAGACGATCGCCAGGCGTATCAGAGAGCCTGACGAAAATGTTGTGCCTGGATATTAAACTCGTTTCGCGGCTGCGGGGTGTCTCCTCCGGGACTGCTTCGTCAACTGCGTCATCAACGCACGCGGCGGCGGCGACGGCGACGGCGACGGCGACAGCGACGGCGACGGCGACGGCGACGGCGACGGCGGTCGCAGCCTCGTCATCCTCGGCGGGCGCGAGCTCCGCGGAGAAAAGCAAGTCCCGCCGAGCGAAACGCGAGAGTGGCGAGATCGCCAGCTCGGCCACGACCAGCGACAGCGAGGAGGAACCGTTGCGGCCCAGTTCGAGATCCGTCCAGGAGATGATACGCAGGAACAGATCGAGATCGGTGTGCGTGGCGGCGATCCTGCCGTCCTCGCAACTTCGGCAGTTGCATCGACGCGCCAGCCATATGTACGTTGCTCCAACGCGTCTGATCTCTCCGTCTTCTCTAACGCGGCGATGTTACGCGAGACGCGAAATTGCGAAGTCAACGAGTTTCCCGACTTATCTCATCGATTAAGCCCCCCCCCCTTTATTATTTTTTTTCCCGAGAAAAGGGAAACGAGCGAGTAACTCGTTGTTACTCTTGCTCGACCTTTCCTCCTATTTGCCGCGTACGCTTGTATCAATTTACCCGCTGACTTTTTCTATTATCTCTTATTGAAAAAAAGGAGAGCAATTCGCTACTCGACTTGTTGCTTGACCTTCTTCTATTTGCTTCGCCTCGGAAGCTAATAAAAGCTTGCTCGCCGAGATGACGATCTAACGGGCAACGCAGCGAAACCCGCGAGCCATGCGAATCCCGAATCTTAAATAGTAACCGTTTCCTCTTTGTGTCTCTCGGTGTAACGGCCTCTCCCGATTACCCGGCCAATTCGACCTCGACGTCGAGCTTCTCGTTAACCTAGATATTCATGTCGTGAAAAATGAGAAGCGCGAGAGGGATTGAGCCTCGGTGAACGAAGGGTGCCGCCATATATTACATTCGCACTACGCGACTCGCTCGCCGGGGGATCATTGTATTTGATCGGGATACATTTAGCGAACCGATAATAATTATCCTACTGGCAGCATTTTACCGTTTATTAATTCTTTCGTGCGGAAAAAGAATAATAATAACTGCGTTTGTCTCATAATCATCGCTCTCAATATCGAAAATAGATTATTTGTTCAACATAAATTTTTTTTTTTAAGAAAAAAATTTCGAGAGACACTTTATTTTATTTTATCAACGCAACTTATAAATATTCGATATTAAATATTTCGATAATTAAATTTCCAATTAAAATTCCGTGATTTTTAACGAGAAGGATTTTTTTTTTACGAGAACATGATTTTCTTCGGAACTCAATTTGCAAAAGGTAAAGTTTATCTTTTGCGTCTATGTATAATTTAGAAATTATTTACGCCACGATCATTTTAGTTAAAACAAAAGTAAAAACGGAGTTTGGATTGATTAAAGAATCGATTTCCGTCGTAAGTACGAAGGCGAGATTGTGAATCACTTCGTGAGTGCAGAAATTGATTCGTAACGTCGATACGAAATTGATTGCGGAGTGAGGCAGTTAATTCAAGCAACATATCCATAGTTTTTTTTTTAATCGAATGTAATTTTGCTTTCGCGTAGCAAACGGCATGTTGCGAAGGCACTGCGGAAGGTGCGGAAGGTGACCGATAGAAAAATGTACGTGTTCTCGGCCGAGAATGCCGTTCACCGGGGCGGACGAGGCGTGCCTTTCCTGGTGCGAACGATTCCATAAGAAACACGTACGCGTGTAGCTATAAAAGAAGCTATAAAAAGTTTACGCAAAGCGAGACCATTTGTTTCTGAATAGCGCGAATCATTCGGTAAAAAGAGAAGCGGCGAGAAATGAAACGGCGAAATGCGAAGCTGCGTCGTTTGGCGAATACGAACGAATACGGGCTTCGATTAAAATCGTCTTGCGAAAAATCTTCGAGATATTCGCGAAATATATCTTTATGTTGTTATATTGAAATAGGAAAAATATAATATCGTGTTTCAGATCCACCACGGACGCGATAGCGAGGCGAGGAGTTTTGTCGAGGCGATGTTACGGCAGCGTCGAGATGGTAAGGAAACAATGAAAAAGTAGACATAGCTAGCCTCGTTCTACTTGTTACAAGATTTTCTTAATCATATGCACGAGTAACTTGTGCAAGGTAAACGCTAATCACGCTGTGATAAACCGAGCTGGCGTCCTATGATAATCCGTGACACGTCCGGTGAGCCGATTATATTGTTTCCCTCTATCTTGCCGTTTATCTATTGATTTGCTTATCACATAGTTCACCGAAGCTGCACTCGAGCTGTGCTTAACTCGTGTTAATACGGGGATGTCGCAATTTATTTATTCGGATGACGCTAATTTATTATTAGAAAATAGAAAAGAGAAAAATTTCTTAAATTATTAATTGTCGCCTACTGTCGCGATTAAATAAAAATTGCAATAAAAGCGTGACGTATATCTTTAATGAATTTGTAAATGAAAAATCTATTATTTTACATCAATAATAAATTGTTTCGTAAAAAATTTTGTTTTTCCTTGCTCGGAAGGCTTGAATTTTATATTTACTTTCGAACCTTTTTCTTTTCTTTAAAAAACATGTACTTCGTTCCTTCGTTCTACTTTCAATTCCTTTGCAGCGTTCCAATACTTCCAATCAGAGAAGTTCCTAAACTCCTTAAGTATCGGTTTATAAAAAGAAAGAGAGTACATATATTTGAATATTTTTCTACAAAATTTGATTACGTTCCGTGAAATCGAATTTTCGAAATTACACATTAAATATTAATATAAATTCTCACATAAAAAGAGATTTCAAGGCTTGGATTCGATTTTAAATCGTCACATTTGCTTTCGATCGTGCGCGTTTCGAGGTCTCGAGGGATCACAATTCGCAAACTCAAAACTGGAGCGTATTGGCTGACACTCGTGCATTTGATAATTGCAACGCTCGAAAATATCTTTTTAGTTGCCGCAGATCGAGCAGGACGGTGCCGAGAATGGGAGAAGATTTCGAGTGGAGAACGGGAACTCTCCCGGAGAAAAAGAAGAGGTAAGGAAGCGTTGCTTAATGATCAAACGATCAACTTCTTTCGACTTCTTTCTTCTTTCACTCGAGATTTGTCCCATTTCGCATAATTGCCTGCGTTCTTACCTCGTTTCGTCTTCCATCATATCCCACTTTCTGCCACGGACGGTAATTTGTAATGATAAATGATTTTTATTATCAACAGATGTTCGGTTCGCCGAGTACGCCGATATTAGAGAATCCGGAATACCAAACGCGTTGGTATTTCAAATACTTCTTGGGCAAACGTAAGTCAAATTATCGGGCATATCTGTAACACAATATTATCATCGTTCACTTACAACGTAATAATACGATATTGAGATATCATTTCGCTTGGAATATCTGTATCCATTATATTTATAGCCTCGTTACTTTCTTAAATCGGATCCTCTTTTCATGTGTAATACTGCGGGAGCGCGCGATAAAGAATTCCATCAGCGTCCGTTTATGTAAATCGATTTATGTTCTTTTATTCACACGACCGAGTTAATCACTGTTGCGTTTTAATGAAAATTTATACAAAGAATACTATATTATATGCGTTTTTTTTTTACAAACAGTTAGCGGAAAATGCAAAAGCTTTACTGCAAAAGTTACTTACGCGATAGATGATTTAGCAGTCAAGGATATCATATAAAAAGCAATGAATATAATATAAGTATAAATAATATATAAGTATGAATATTGATCACTTTTATTTATGTACATTACAGTGCATCAAAATTATATCGCTTCCGATCAAGAGAAAAATCCTCTCTTCCTCTCGGTAGTCACGAGCGAAGTCGGTGATCAATGCGTACCACACTACAGAGTTATTCTATGGAGGCGAACTGTGAGTAGCTATATATTATTCAGTAGGGGAGATCTCTCCGGAGACGAGTTTATCAAATTATTTATGTTTCTACCTTTTCTTTCTATTTTTTTTTTTTCCGTCTTTTCCTCTTCTCTCCTTTTTCCTTTCTTCTCACGTCGGCGTCGGGACTGTGAAAGGTCTCCTTAAACTCAGATTAAACTCAGATTTTATATTTTTTTCATGAAAGAGTAGTTTATTGCTTTAATTTGTTTATATCACATAAATCGGTACCCATATATCTCCTTGTGATATCGGCTTTTCTTTGTACATGTATGAATATAAAATGTTAGACTTTATGTAACTCAATTCCATCGACGGAGAGGACGGGCGCGGTATGCGGGGGAGAGGGAGGGGCTATATCGAAAAGTATAAAATTATTATTCGGCACGTAAATACACAAAATCACTCGTGATAAATTCAGAAATGTTTTATGTAGGGCGCGCAGAAAATATCGTTGCCGTATTCGGCGAACAAAACGATGACTATCAGACAAATTCTCAGGTAATTATTTCTCATAGATTGAAAAACTCGTAGATTGAAAAAAAAATACAAAGTGTGTGAAATCTATTATCTATCTTCCAGCAACTTCTTCAGTCTGGAAAAGCTCGAAAAGGCGCCGCGAGAGGTTTTCGCGCCCGAACTACAAAAGGTACGTTCGCGAGAGTCTCATGACGTTTCAGACGCTCGAGAATGAGCGTCATAAAGGAGATAACGAACTAATTCAATGATCCTTCGCAGGATCTGTTATTATTAGAGGAACAAGAAGGCTCGGTGAACTTCAAGTTTGGCGTGATTTACGCGAGGGAGGGTCAGATCACCGATGATGAGATGTTGTCTAACGGTAAGGCCGTGTCGGGAGTGTCGGCGAGAACAAAAGACAAATCTGGCTGGAGAAATTAAGTGATAATAGATAGCGCTATCGATTTCTGAGGAACGTTTCTCATTGCTCGCAGAAAGTGGTAGCCCGGGCTTCGAGAACTTCCTGGAAATCTTGGGTGAGAGGATACGGCTCAAAGGTTGGGACAAATATAGGGGCGGCTTGGACGTGAAAGGTACGCTGATGACATGGATATTGGCAGTGCAAACTGGAGATCTGCAATCAGAAGAGGCCTGCAATCGTCACTCGTCTCTTTAGATTGTTACACAGAACTTGAAAATTTTCTGTGCGTCCTTCCTCCGAGTCTTCCGATTTCTAACGAACCGTTTGAACTATCTTTTCCATTTCACGAGAGATTACATTTTTCATGAATACAAATGTAACAACATGTGCATGTAATAACAATTTTATAATATGTTAAAGTATGAATGAACATCGGCCGATTAAACGAGCCTTTTCTTTACTTTTTGCAATGTCTTTGACCTCCCACAATTTCCCAGAATTTAGAGATATGAATAAACACGTAGCGACTCGGAGGAAACGTTATTCTTGCTTCCACTCGCACTCGTTCTGTCGTTTTTCAGGAGACATGACGGGCAAGGAAAGTTATTACACCGTTTATGCGGGTCACGAAGTTATGTATCACGTTAGCACGATGTTGCCGTACTCGAAAGACAATCCGCAGCAGCTCGAAAGGAAAAGGCACATCGGGAACGATATCGTTAACATCATTTACACGGATGATCCATCAGCCGTGGATACTTTCAATCCGAACTGCATAAGAAGTCAATTTACCCGTAAGTTAAGAAAAATATCACGATAAGGTCACGTACGATATATCACCGAACGTCGCCCATTGTTGTTTACATAAAGAGCGCGCAAGCTAAAATACCATCTAATACAGTAATTCTCAATTTTCTTATCTCTTTTTTTTTACGCCTACAGATTTTCGCATGTTTTTAAACTTCAAACAGCGCATTACGTATTGATCTATCTCCGTTATGTATATTTCCAATTGTAATAGAAATTCTCAGTTAAAATAATTCTATCATTAGTTTCAGAAATTGTCATTAAAATTATTCTCTCCGTAGCTTTTACCCGTTGTATATTATTAATCACAAATCGATTCAAGAATACAGCGAAAGTGCATTTTTTATAGAAAAATAAAGGTATAATGCAGTTATATAAAATGTAACTACATAAGAAAATATAATGTGGTTATAAAATAAAATATAATTATGTAAGAAAGAAAATAATTAGTTAAGTATATCAATTAGTTGAGTATATCAATTCTCCTATTACCTAGACGTATTCGCCGTGGTGACGACCGAGCCGAACGGCAAGGGGTGGCGGGTCGCTATTTATTGCGACGAGAACGTACCTCTGTTCGGACCGAGCCTTCCCTGCCCGCCGGTTTTCGAGGACCCGTATAATCTCCGCGAATTTCTCCTCGTTAAGTTGATCAATGGTGAAAAAGCTACATTTGACACCCCGACATTCTCCAGGAAGAGGGAAAGAACCCTCGACGCCCTGTTGCGAGACATGTACCAGGAGCATTCGCAAGACAGCAAGAGCAACGTAAGTTACTTTGCGAAAAAGCTGCAATTTACTCTCGCTTGTATTTCCCTTCTCTCGCGTTTCGTTAACTTTTATTTAAAGTAATAATGATGAAACGTAATAATTTAATAGTAACATTTAATATTTCTTTTAAAATAATATTGATATCAACACGATCTTTAATTTTTCATAAAAAATTAAAAAAAAAATAATACTTAATCAATATCAAATAATTAAAATGAAAAGTATCGTATCGTAATTTAAAAAGATAAACTCAAAAATAATTTTTTAAAATAACAGAGTATGCTAAATCGCCGAGCGCTTTCCGATGTCGTCGAGGCTCCAGGTCGACGGCGAGAAGAGACACGCGCTGTCGAAATGGTACGAGTCGGACAAGCCCTTAAGTTGGAAGCTATAATGCGTGGCCTCGCACCCACTTCTCTTGCCACTGTCGGCCCTCTAAAGCCTAGACCATGGGAACCGAGATGCATCTATCCTGATTTTCCTTACGAGGTCGTTTGCGGTGATGTCTGGTTGGAGAGCAGGCTGATCCTCGCCTCGGAGAACGGGACGTTTCTCATCGAAGGTAATCCATACGACATACAATAAATATATTATCTCAAAATTCAATTACCAAAAAACATATATAAAATACAATTTAGCGTATTAACAACGTTAAACTTTAATAATTGATTAAACAATTGTAAATTTTTGCAACAAATAAAATCGGAAATGCTATATGAATCCACAAGTAGAGAGTAAATGATCAATTCTAGTTTGCCGATTTTTTTTTTTTTTTTTTTCGATTCTTTCCAGACGGAGTCTCGCACAGATTGATCTTCGACGAGTCGGTGCAGATCAAGCAGCTGGACGTGGTCGAACAGCACGGTATCCTTCTGTTTCGCGCCGGCGACAAGGGCAAGGAGAGCAGCGTCTACGTCTTCCGGTTGCGGGAGTTCGAGAGCGACGCGTCCGCGAGATGCGCCGAGCTGTTCAACGATCGCGAGAACGACGATCGGGAGAAGGAGGAGGAGGACGACGACGAGGACGCCGAGGACGACGATGACGATTGCGACGAGGATGACGCCGACGACTGCGACAATTTCACCCGCGCCACCGCCAAGTTTCAGCCGGCGGCGCGTTCGCGAGCGCGGATGCGCGTTCGCGCGCCGGCCGTTCGAAGCCGACCGCATATCAAGGAGAGGAAGCTGCGGCGTACGCGGGGATGCGGCTTGTACAGCATCACGAGACCCGGAGGCTCACACTTACGCATGGTAATACGCACGGCATACGTATCGAGTAACTAACGTGAAAAACGAGAATTTATAGTAGTTTATGCAGTCAAGATTTTACTACCGCGCGGCACTTGAATAAATGTCTTCTTTTCTTCTTCTTCTTTTTCTTCTTATTATTATTATTATTATTACATTCAAGTTTACATTCGTGTGAGACGAGATTACGTACGATTGTGATTGTGCGATACAGTGCGTAGTCGTCGGCCGCCGATTGACCGTCCTTCAATGGAAGCACAATGCAGCCTGGACCATCTGGTGCTCGTCAGCTGACACCGACACCACCGACGGTTTTCTGCTGCTGAAGGAGTTCACCGCGAGCGAAACGCCCTCGTTAGTGACGATGATCGAGAGCGTTGATCCGGCAAACGAGTGGACATTGTGCTGCGGCGCTCGTCATCATTTCGAGTTAATCTCTGCCTCCGGTGCTTCGAGGATTGTTCATTTGGAAGCGACGCCTAAGCCACACTTGGTAGCGGCGTTGGATCTTCGCGAGGACGAGGAGCCGGAACTATTGCTCTGTTACAACAGTAGGTCGCATTTCATCTTTAATCTTTAATCCCCGAGAGACATCGATCTCTTCCGAGCTTGATAAATAATTACTCGTAACTCGTTCCATCTATGCAAGAAATGAATGTGTCAACAGAAGCTCGTACAGAACATTTTTAATAAATCTTTTCTGATATTTCGATTTGACAAGTTTCGATTTGATTTCAACGATAATATCTGCAATATTTATCGATTATTCAATATTTTTTATCCCTTAGATACGTGTCACTTTCAAAAGCTGGCAGAAGAGAACGCTGCGCCGACCGAGTTCGACTTCAATTGGAATTCGATGCCGACAGCCGTAGGTGCGACCGATTTGAAGTCTTCTACGACATCGATTACGTTATACAATATAATCATAATAACGTTGTAAAATAATTCGCATTAATTTTTCGCTACTTAACAGACTGTATAGATATCTCCTTTGACAAATGTTGCATTTATTTATAACACAGCCTGTGCCTTTCCATACGTGATCGCCTTCACTAGCGACACGATGGAGATTCGATTGATAATAAACGGCAACCTGGTCCACACGATCGCCATGCCCAATATCAACTTGATCACTTCGAAACGGGACATCTTCTTCGCGACCACGGCGCCGGAATTCCTTTTAGGAAAATGCGAGCGAATCCGCCTGGACTCGAAGCCCCTTGAGAAGGAGGAAATGCCTTGCAGCCCACCGCCCACCGCCCACTCCTCGTCCTCCTCTCGATCGAGCGTTCAGAGTACGTGACTTCCGATTTCCTTTGTCTTAAAATTCTTGAAACTCGAGACTTCTCATCGGTGCAATCGCTAGCACGGAATATTTGACAAAACGCACGCTGAGGCCAATCTTCTCACACCGAGAAATCTCCCTTTCACAGACAGTCAAGCCGACTGGAAACCGATAAGGATCTACCGGATACCACTGCAGACGCTGTCAAGGAGCACGGCATCCAACTGCAGTCAAAGAAGATGTCCGAGTCCCACCGAGCCGGAAATCGTCTCCGCGCCACCGACCTCCGACAGGACTTTCCTGAACGTCGAACCGCAACGTGTGTTAAGCAGGTCCTGCAGCAGCAGTCCTACACCCACACCAACCACGAATTTGCCGTCGCCATGTAAAAAATAGAGCGCCGTAGCTTCGAGCGCGTTCTCTTGGCGCTCGCCAAAAACGATTGCGTTAATTGCGTGATCTTTAAAGGAATCGATCAACGGAAAAAAAGTAAAAAAAACAAAAAAAAAAACAAAACAAAACCAAACCGACCGCACGTACCTGACTTCTCGTTCTCATATGAGAAAACACATGAAAATCTTTGTCATTGTTATGCTGTTAGCGCGCGTCGCCATTGCATGTATATATCTTGAATGTAAGAGCGATCGCGCGCACGAGTTATTGTTTGGGTAGATTTTGACGGGAATACATTAATGTCTTAATTACGGAAAGAAAAGTAATTATGTACAAATTAATTATTATTTTTCTTAATGATTTTTCTTTTGAGAGATATTTTATTTCGATTACTATTTTGACAGTAATTTGTTATAGACATAGTACATTTTCTGTTTATTCTGTTTATTTCGTGTATTATTACAGAAATATTGTGTTAAAATTCAGAATTTTGAAGAAAGACAATTGCAAAAATTTCAATAATAAATTACAACCTACGGTGATCCTCCATTTTCCTTTATTTTTCTTTTAATCTTTTTTGCTATAATACAATGTAAAATTTGAATTTGCGGAAATATTTCGCAGGGTATTTTTCTCTATTAAATTAGTTTTATTTCGCGTCATCCGTAATTAAGGACTCAATGGCATCGTGTCGTGGCATAATAACGGCGACACTTTAGACACTACTTGCTTCTGGATTTTTTCCAAGTGACATTGTGTATCGTAGCTTCTCTCATCGTTTCGAAATTGACTTTAAACAATAAAATTTCAGGCTAATGACCGTGGTCAATGGTCGAAAATATTTCTGACGTCGAATGACTTTAACCGTGAGTCAAACTTAACATGTACTTAATAGATACGAGAAAGGGCATTTTTCGGATGCGCGTTAGCTCGATGAATCACGTGTTTCCTCGAATGTAAAAGAGGCACGCGAAGAATGTTGCCGGAGATGATCGTGGTTGATCGGCTACCTGATGATTACCAGGCTACGCCGCATCCGCACTTATTTTTATTTAATAAAAAGTTTAACATTATTCCGACATGTGAATAAATGTCGATGTTTACGCGTCATATGTATATAAAGAAAATAATTAATAAAATTAATAAAATATATGTTACCGTTGCATTTCCACCGAAAAAATGAATAGTACTTTTTTTACTATGTTCCATCGCGCCTTTCTTTCCATTTCTGCGTGATTATCATTTTAATCTGTAACCTCGATGTCTATTTAATAAATTCGTTTTATCGCCTTACATACGCTTTATAAATACATGTTGCCACGTAGTCTATTATATCGGTTGGTTAAATTATTTCATTATAAAATTTCATAGAATCGCGTGTTTATTATTACATCTCTAGATAACGATAAGTGATTTACTTGGAAACGATATATATCGCATCTCGCGCTATTATCAAAGTCCACAGCAGCATAAATTTATGAAAAAAACATGTTATCGAAAATTTACAGATAATTAGATATATAAGAGGAATATATCGTTTTTATTTTTGCAAAGTGTTCTAACGAGATTATTCAATCAAATTTTTGTATCTTTGAGTAAATCGAGGAATTAAGGGATTATATCAGGGTCATTCTATTCTTAATTTTTTTTTCGACGACAAATTTTCGATACGCAATCAATCCGCACGAGTTGAGAAACCGATCGTGGCTGAGAGAGAAGCGTGTGCCACATGGCGACCTCGGTCAGACCGGAGCATTGAACCGTGATGCGATTTTCGTTTGTTTAACATGTGTTTTTCGCTGTGAGGCTGCTGGGGCAGCGGCGGGCAGGTACACGCTCTCGGATCGGAATCTATAATTCGTGTCATCGGCTTTATAATGCGCGTCGCACTCCTCAAAGGGTTCTCTCGAAATGAAGCGTAAAGTATATTAAAGTCTACGTTTAAATAAAAAAATAATTTTCTCGCGATATTTACGCTTTCCTTTTTGCGCGACAAGGCCCGAAATTCGCATGGAAAACGTTGTACGAAAACGTACGCTGTCGCAATTTTCATCTCGAAATCGCACGCGCTTATCGCTTATCGTAGACGCGACTCGATACGACAGAGCGGAGTTTATCGCGAACGTGTGACGGGCGTTATCGCGAAAAAACTTTCTATTTTTACGCGCGGCTGCTATTACGCGGAACGTACAATACATATACGTAACCGGACATTCCAGCGCACGTTGGAGCGCCGCCGTTCGTAGCCGCACGATTAAGCCGATCACGCTATGGTCGGCCGGGCCGGCGAGCGGCTAAAGCCGACGCGTCGGAACGACCGTCGTCGGCAGTGTCGGCATCGCGCGACGGTGTACTGTACTATCGGCATTGGCTTCGCGGCGCACAGTCCCTTGAGTGAGAGGGGTCGGAGAAAGAGGGGGAAGAGAGAACGCACTCGCGAAAGAGCGAGCGAGAGGGAGAGAGAAGGAGAGACGCAGGTACGAGGGCCACACACACGGAAGGTTTGCGGCGTGAGAGCGCGACGAGAGAAGGGAGAGGGGAGGGGGGGAGGGTACGACAGAGAGAGAGAGAGAGAGAAAGAGAGACAGTCGAGCCACGAACTCGTGGTGTGCGGAGGTGCCACCAGCCGGAGTAACAGCAGAGAGACGGAGAGTCGGAGGCGGCCCGTGCCCGTGGCTACTCGTGACCGCCCGTGGCTCGAGTTGTAACACTCGTCGCCGTTGTAACGTGACGCGCGAGACGAGGTGTGTGTGTGCGTGCGTGCATGCGTGCGACGTGTCTCCGAGTTCGTTCGTTCGTTCGCCCGTCCGTCCGTCTATCCGTCCGTTTCACCTCCGTCGCGAGCCGCGTCTACCGGGAGCAACGACAAGGTGCTCTGCCGCGGTCTCTCTCTCTCTCTCTCTCTCTCTTCCCTCTCGTATTCCCGTTCTTTTCTCCATCAGTTTCTTTCTCTTTCTCTCTCATACACACGAGTGTGATCGGTACAGTGCGACCAGTGCGACGTGATACGTTCTCGTTCGCGGATGCCCTTCGTTGTGCCTCGCGCGACAGGATAGGTGCCGTGCCGATACGTCATCGTGAAAAGACTGTCAGGAGTGCCTTACTTCTTCCCCCAGAGCTGTCCGTCGTGCGCGACACGACGCGGACACGTTTCATTATCACGGCGACATCCCGTGCGGAGAAAGAGAGAAATAAAGAAATAAAGAAAAAGAGAGAGAGAGAGAGAGAGAGAGAGCGCCGCGGCGCGCTCGACAATGAGGTAAGAGCGCTTCCCGTGTTTCGGAAAAAAGCGACGGTAACATATATTAAGGCTTGTTCTCCGTCCGAGAGCACAGACGTACGGAGGTTATGTTTCCCGATGACCCCTCGCGCGTCACCTCCTCGCTCCTCTCTTCCCCTTCCCACGTAGCTGCCCTCTCCCGTTCTCCCATCTCCCGCCCCTTCGCCTCTTTCTCACCGCGTCTTTCTCGCGCCTCTGCCCTTCTCCTCGCTCTCTCTCCTCATCTCTTTCACTCACTCTCTTTTTCTCCTCGCACTTTGTTTCTCCTTTGTCCCTCTCCCTCCCCTCCCCATCCCCTCCTCTCTCTTTCTCTTTCTCTCTCGCATTCTTTTTGGCGTGGACGTCGGGGCAAAGCGCGACGCGATTCAAAGTTTCAAGAGATCCGCGGCACGACACGATGGATCGAGTCGCACACCTGGCGGGAGAGATTCGTCGTGGCTGCTCCGACACTCGATTACGTGCGCTCCTCTCTACACGCACCGTTTCGTCCTTCTCTTCCACGTGCGAGATTTCTCATTGCTTCACATCAGACGTACGTATGTAACGTAGCGTAGCGTAACGTAACGTAACGTAACATGACGTACCCGATTCTACGTCTACGTCCGCCTCACGTTGCGCTTTTCGCGCAACTCTGTCTGATCCTCCTCGCAATAGCCAGTCTCTCGTAATCTCTCGATACGGAATTTCACGAACTGTCAGCTGTCAGCCGCCACCATAGTCCATGCCACCTGTCCGAAACTCAGATGCGCGCGCGCACGCGTGCACGCGTGCATGCGTGCATCGTGCATGCGTGCCGTCCCTTTCTTCCTCCTCTCGCACTTGTTTCCTCTCTCTTCCTCTTTCTCCCTCGCCCCTCCTTCACCTATCTGCTTCCCGTCCGGCTCTCGGACGTTAAACCGCACGACTTTACGAGTAGTTTTCCTCGCCGTGGTTCTTTAGGCCAGCGCATGATTTCCCTTCGAGAAAGGCGCGAACGCGAGTGCGAGCGCGATCAGGAACGATCGGCGATCGGCGGGGTCGTGTCAAGCTTCTGGAATAGAGAAAAGGCTTGTTGATATTTCGGCGCGCAGGCTTTCTGGCATGACAGCGCGACCGGCCTTGAGCCCCTCTTCCCCTTCCCCTCTGGTCCACGTGTCCCGCCTTCCTCCGCGCGCTCCCTTCCTCCGTATCCCTGCTACGGGCGTACTGCACGATACTCTATGGACCAGTGACGCTCAACGCGTGACGTTTTTGCTTCATCCTAGCTTTTTCGCAGCTTGCTCGATTTAATACTGCACATTATATATATTTTATATGACTTTGCTTCTTCTAGCCTAATGAAAATTTTTATCGTATTTTATATTATTGACTTATATTTTTTTTGTGCCAACTAATCATAAATGTCACATGTCATGACAAGTACAGCGTTTAATATAAAAAATAGTAAACGCACGATGTATAAAGTTAAATGTATTGAAATATACTGCATAGATTTATACAACCTGTGCTGTAAATAGCAGCAGGTATATTTAAACGTATTATTAATATATAAAAACAACACATGTTACATTTTCGGTATGATCATTTTATGTCCATTTCTACCAATGTAGATTAATTTTAATCTCGATTTAACTTACTTTTTATTATTTTTAAATTTTTATGAATTAGAAACATATAAAAAATAAATTAAACTGAAATTAAATCTATAGAAATGGATTTTAATCAATGGACATTAATAAATAACTGAAATATCAGCGCGAATTTACATTCTAAACAGTTGAGAGTGTTTATTGTGTTAAAAATGTGTTGATCTCATTAAATTCATTTCATTACAAGATATTGAGATATTTAAAGGCGACGTGCTATTATTTCCCGTCATAGGAAGGTCGTCTTCGAATTTGCGAGCGGAGCTTGTAAATTTGGCTCGTTTATATTAATAAACGGCCGTTTATATTATAGGTAGGACCGTCTATAATACGTACGCGCTATTTTAATTTAAAACAACGCATGAGCGTTTTATAATCCGTATCCGATCTGTAGATTAAAAGGCTGTTTCATCTCGGCGAA